CCTCCATAGAAGGAGTCATTTAATTTTATGGTACCCTCCCCCCGAATTAATTCAACTTTGATAAACTAGCTCGTGTGGAAGGAGACTCCGAAGGTAACAGAGGGGCAGTGTTTAGTGCACATGCTACATACGTTAAAACCGGTGGATAGAGGGGCCATCTATAATGTTAACTTGACTTGACTCAGATATGGGACAGCAATGAAAGAAATGACTACGGTGTGGAGCTACGACCAGGTATACTCGAGATACCAAGCCTAGCGCAAAATTACTCGAAAGATAGTCAGACAGAAACCTCACCAGGTCGCTGTCTTTCTGCCGCCGACCTGCTGACTCAATCATTGTCTGTCCATACGAAGACGTTGCAGACAACTTTGTTTGGTTACGGGAAGCGTTGAATGGGTACCCTTATGCATGAGGTAGACACAAACAACTGTTCCATAATCTTACCAGCTGATTTTCTTTGCATTGGCACTTCTTATAGTATCTATATACCCTATTGTATTCAGGGAGTTGGGTTATACGTGCAACTGTGCACAACGCATAAGGCAGCTGATCATGCTTCCCGTCACTGCGAGGACAACAACACCAACGCCTCAAGCAGATGATAACTTCGATAACTTCAAGAGTTTCAGAATTGTGTGAACAATCCTAGATTTATTCCATCACGCCTGTATGCGAATAACGTAACAGTACTAGAACAGTTACTACCATGATCGCATTTTTCAAGCAAATTTTCTACACCACCCTTAGTCACCTTCAACAATCAGTTCGAGTAAATCTTCTTTGAAGAAAATGACAAAATTCAGCCGAGACCATTTCTTGTGAAAAGTTGTATGTTCAGGAGTTTACTCGGCATTCTTTCGTCAACTAAGTAACTTCGCAAAGTTGTCGTTCAATAATTTTCATGTTTTTTTTCAGAAATATATTTCTAGTTGGGTGTCCACATGTGTGGTATACCTTAGGGAATCATCGAAATGTGCACCATCAAACGTTGCGTAATGCAGTAATTTCGTGAATGTTGAGGAGCTCGTTGGTAGAATGCAGTCAGATAATGACGATTCCTTCATTTTCAGTAGATCCAAGACGCTTTCACACTGTCAATCCCGGTGTACAGATAAAGAACTTTGAACAATGCGACGTCACAGGTGGAGCCTTCAGCATTGTTCAAAGATGTGATGATCTCGTCCCAGGGCGAATAAACATCCGAAGGTGGAGCCATTGGGAATGAGTTCAAAATACAGTTATTTTGGATTTGCATTACATCGTGTTCCATGAGCCTCTCAGTAGCTAAGCCACTTGCGGACCTGGAAAACAGAGAAAGGCGACTCCGGGCGAGTGGATGGTCAGAAATCACACAATTTTTTTTCCAAAGTAGCGGGAGTGGCTTGCTGGTCTACATTTTTGGCAACTAATGGCGACATCATCAATAAGGGCTTGTGGTTTTAAGGGCACCGTGTTGTCAGACAACTTCGGTCATCCCCGAAGCGCCATCAGTACGTAGCTGCAGTAACTTGTTGCCGTTTTCCTTATGTATCAATTCCCATCCAAGTCAACAATGCAACTGGGTCTTAAATACGCTGAGCCTTTACTTTTTTCTATTCAGAAATCCTGCAGTTACATTATTATCTGAGCTTTCAGCCAACCTTGACGGGGCGCACAAGGTTTTACAAAGGCCGCGTTTGATGCTGTCTCAGCTATATGCGGTCAAAGAGTAGGCAGATATAATAGGCAGACAAGGTCAATCTGTCCTCTTGCGATATTCCTTCGCAAACTGGGCTCACCCACTCTGCTGTGTGCAACAAACAAAATGAACTGTGTTGCAACTTTGTACATGATTAAAATTGACTCCCATTTTGAATGACTGCATCCCCGGTTATCAATTCAAACGAACCGCCGTTTTTATTTTTGGTATAATTAAACTCTATTTAATTTTTCCAAAGACTTTCATGTTTTCCGGTTTTTGGCTACACGATTCGTTTTCACCGCCTTTTATACTATTTTCATGTCAAAACTTTGTTCAGCTATAAGTTTGTTTTAATGCATCGATTTGCGATCTTGTTTCGACCGTGCGTTGACTGTTGATCCATGCCGGTTCCGCTTGCTTTATGGAGCATATCGCCGTTTGTTGAAAACCGCTGAGGTTTGGAATTTTGCGTCCATGTTATGACATTTATCTTCATACTACAGCACACTTGCGTAACCATTCTTTTCGGCCTTTTGCGGTGTGGTTTCTAACTTTGGTGCTCGTTGCTTAATTAATCGAACTGTGGTGACAAACAGGTTGATACACCGTGCAACGGGCGATGTGAACAAGGACAGTAGGGTCCTCACTCAAAGTTGCTAGCTCAAGAGCGAGACCGCTAGGCAGAGGTGTTTGGCAGAAATATCAGTGTAGTATGCTACTTGAAGGGATAGGTCGCCAGATGTGTCTCAACTCCAGCCCAGAAGACCAGTAAACTGTATTGATCAGACATCCCTCCACTGATCAAACTTGCGCGACTGACCCTGCGAATGTCGCACAGTTGGTGGTTCTCAGTGGTTTACGGAAACACAAACACTTACACCACGGTACCGCCCACTCTTCTCATGACCGCTGATTATGGCAAATGTAATCGTAGGTTTTGTTCTTTGAACTTTAAGGCCTTTAAATGCCACATTGAGCAGCTTTACCTAGGTTTCCGGAAGAAGTATTTTTTTGGAGTTTATAAGGAAAATAACGCTTTTTAGATAAAACAACAGAGATTGAGAGAGTATTCCACAGTTACACAACCCAAGGAGGCGACAAGTTTTATACAGTTTTACAGCGATGAATGTAAACTTGTCTGACAGCTTCAGTTTCCAGTGATTTTTGAACGAAACCTGAAATACACTCGTTTGTGTTGTGATTTATCCGAAAAAGTCATTTCTTTGCAAACTGTTTTCACTAAAAAACACCTGGACCCAATTATGGACGCCGCATTTTGGTGATCGCGCCAAGGATCGATTCTCCTTCATTTTTATCGTTGGTCAGAAAATGTGCAAAATGATTCCGAACCTGATTAGAAATCTAACGGTAGAATCGTTTTGTGCAAGTAGGATAATTTCAGTCCACTGACGGCATCATGTGAATTTTGCTCCCTGAAGGCCGAGCCAACGCTCAGACATGATTGCGAATCTTTATTATGCCACGAGCCACTCTATTCGTCACTCACCTTTTCCTGCTCCTCGCTACCCATTCCTGAGAGAAGCAGGAGGACATTTCAACCTGCGCTCTTACTCACGAGCAGGTTAGTTCCATTTCGCTCACTACCCGCTGATCATGTAGGCCTTGTTCCAACATTCACACCATTCTCAATTCATATCGGACAGGCATACGTGCATACAAAGAGTTACTTCTCAATCAGGACATTGGCTTAACTAGGTCTCTGCTGAAATCCTCGCTACCAATTTTTCTCATCTGAATTTATTTTAATAAGAAACAGGACTGTATAAAATTCAAGGCCTGAATGGTAAATGCAAAGCACTGGGAGACTACTCAAGCGTTTTCGTCGGGGTCTGGAGAATGAGGATTCAGTGGAATTATGCCAATAGTTTGCAAGGGTGAGTAGGTTAAGCGAGCACAGATGTATGTTAGTTCCCCAAACTGAAGTATTCCGGTACCCGGATGGTCATCGGATGACGTAAGACCATGTGGAATCGATGTGTTTTCCGAATTTGTCAGCAAGACACCCATTATGTCCACCTAATAGATCAGGTGTTCTGAACAATAAAGGAAGTCGCGTTTCAGGAGAAACGAATATATTAAGCGCAGTGAAATATAGATAAGCATAACTGCAAAAGTTGAAATTTCAAGGGGGCAGAGGATATCGTATGAGGATCTTTTGATTGACACTAGATGAATGGTTCGAAATGCGATAATTTGACAGATGCAACGACTGTGGAAAGTATAGAGAGATGTGCACACAGTTGGAGCAGCGGAGGGACGTGTTTATCAGAGTGTTTCACGCATGATCTGTTGATAAATGCAATACATTGAAAATATCATCCACGGCTGGCATCGGTTTCAAAACAAAATGAACATTCAGCAGGAACATCGATTTTTGCAGGATAGGCAGACATCGTATTTTTTATTCATCCGTTTGTCTTCGATGGTAAGCGTTACGCAAAGTGCTTCAAGAACGGAAAAATAAAAGTTTTGTTGTAACAGGCTATGGACAATAACGTGGACATCATTTTCACTAAGATATGCAAAAACATCCACCCCGCATGATACGCACAAATACAATTACCAAGTTGATTACTAGATTAGGGAACAGAATGTTACCCAGTTGGTGGCCGAGTTATCTGTGGATTTGCTTTTCGCGGAGGAGAGTGTTGCAAATATTGAATAAATCGGTCTATTTACTTGGTGTCACTATATACATATATATATATATATATATATATATGTATATAGTGACACCAAGTAAATCGGGCTGTTTCACGGCGGTCCACTTTTTTCTCTACACCGTGACGCGGAAATTTTTACCCAATTATGAGGAGGTATTTGTCTGTTTGAAACACCTGATCCCAGGCATAGCCATTTATGATAAGCCTCGACGTGGGCTTTCAATGTTCTTTTCGGTCTGACCTCAGCAAATTCGTGACAGTCGATCGACTGTTGAGCTGTAGTTCGAGGCTTCTTGCTTACCACTAACAGCCCTCAAGTGCGAACATGTTCACCTGTTCACCTGTCCAGCGTGTGCCGGTGGAGTATTGGTACCACGTTTGCTTCTCGTGTCAGATGTGCGGAGTTCAAACCCCGGCGTGGTCAAGGGTATGCACCACTGCTGAGCCCTAATGGGAGCGCAACTCCCATTTCTGGTGTGGACCCACCAAAATGATTACCCTCAGGAGAGGAGGACGACTGTTCAAATGAGTGTGACCCCGCAGACCCCGCAATTACATACAACTAAATTCCGAGTTTGTCTATCCGCTTTACGGTCCAGTGGAATGTGTCTAGTCCAAACGATGGACGGTTGTGTAGGGATGATTCATCTGGTCTGTGTGGTGATTGGAACACACACATGAGAGTGCGCCGCTGAATTTCTCCACACTATGCTGCAATGCCGGACAGACATCTCAATAATGACGGAACAGAGACGTTCACATCGAATACTGGATGAATCATAGGGAACACGTAGTGTCTACTGTCTGAGTTGTAATGCATACAAGCCATGAACGACACCTGGTTTTACGTTCATTTTTCGGACCGAAAGCAACGAATCAAAGTCAAAAAGGTGTTCTGGTCGGGCCGATGATTCCGCCCTCAGCAGAATGTCGCGTGCTAGTTCAAAAATGCACTACTGAAAATAGCACTAAACAACAAGGCATGCTTTTCATCAATCAAGTTTCTTCAATTATATCACGTCACCATCCTGAGTTGTCCAGGCGTATTAAGTTCAGTGTCCACCACAAGAACTGCAACTCAGCTGGCAAAACACAGTTTGCGAGATCCGTTTATTTTAGGACGACAGTCTTCAGCTTGTGAGCCGAAATGATGAAAACCATTGGTATTGTAAGGTCTGCATGGTCGTTGGATGCTGCTGAACGTGATACCGCCTGTCTGGTTGTAAACTAGCACTAATTATTGCTCAAGTAAACAACCACCGCGGTAGTTCCAGCTAGTCAAGGCTTATCAACATTTCTAGGAACACCTGTTTCTTCCCGGAGCATATGTATCGGGTTTCCTCAATCTCACACACCCGAATTAGGGCTGCAGTGATGTGTTGTTCAACTTATATCAGCTTGTCATGACTGTGCTTGGATGAAAGCCGCTTTATTCTTCCTCTTGAATCTCGAGTGCAATGCAGACCTGTAGATTCAACGCCTTTGGACAACTCAAATAACAGGCTTTTCTCTGAATTCCTTGAATAATCTGCTTCCCGTTACCATAGTCTGTCTCTAAAGCTTTAAAAAACGGCGTTTGCCAAAGAAGATTGGCCAGTCATTGCTTACTCACTTTGACCTCAATCGTGATTGATATGCGTCCTCACCTAAACAGCGGTGACTCACGTGAAATGTTTGACCTAAAACAAATCATGTGTACATCAGAGTACTTCAAAATGCCAATCGTTTCGGTCACCCATCGCATCACTGGTGAGCTTTAGGTCAGCTATCTGAGAAAGGGGTGAATTCATGGGCACTGCGTAGCCTCAAATGCCGCTCTTTTGAGAGAAAAGCCACTGTTATTCGCATTTCATACTACAACAGCAAGTTTTCTAATATACATGAAACCCAATAAATTCCGTCGGGCCACTGAATACAAAACTATGCATTTCATGCGTTCCACACCTGACGATTCTAGGATGGTTAGACAGTTAGAGCATTAACGAGGAAAATCAAGTGACCTTTTTAACACTTCGTTTGTGCAGTCTTGCAGATTAGGATAATACCAAAGCCATGTAATCAGATGTTTCAAACCGTTACTATTCGATAACCTTGACGTTGTTATTCTCAGGTCAGGTCGCTTCTTTTGTCCGGTACTTTTGTCGAGTATTTCAGTGGCGTGCGCCAACAACAGTTCAGACTTTTACAAACTTGGCAAAACAGAAGATAAGCCAAGCTATGGAATACAGATATACCGTGAAACAGTTTACAGGTTCAAAAGTCCGTCGAACATAGCAGGACTGGAATCAGTCGGGACAACCAAATACCCAGTGTCTTCACGATTAGGCGCGACGTGTAAATCTCGACCACAGATATTATGCCGTTATGCATACAACCACAGCAGCTCTTGGTACATGTTGTTAAGCATCTTCGTCAGACACGAACTGTTACCTACAAAATACCAACACATAGAGAGTGAAAAGCCAAACGTGGCTGAAATTAATCATTCTCACATGCATGCCTCGCCCCCGATAGATGATACAACGGCCTACAAGGTCCAGCAGATTACTATACTTTCGTTTGGGGTGTCAGATCATATGCATATATGCAAAATGAGGTGCCGATATCACCTTCCACATGTCACCGATCTAGATCGACAGTAGCCCTAACATTCATCCGTCTCAGTGTCATGATTGTATGAACATATTACTTAATAGGTGACCTATTCGACGGCTAATAAAAGATTTTCAAACTCACCAATCAATGAGATAAAACCACAGCTCGTGAACTGCACCACATAGGCACCCTTGGACGAGACAAACGTGCTGACGAGGGCGCAAACGAGGGTTCCGACAGACTAGCGAACAAGAAAATGCGAACGGAGGTTATCGGACATCAGTGCACTAAAATGCGTTGCAAAAATGTACAAGTGCCCCTGCCTCTCTAAGAGACCACACCCCAGAAGGTGCAACTTTTGCCTTGGAACCAAATAAACAATTCTTGATCTTTATAAAAGCACGGCTTTGATCAATCCCTTCACGTGGACTATCTATAGGAAGAAGGCGGGAGAAAAGACTTACAACTGCACTATACACCAGACCATAGTTTACGGCCATATTTGCCGGTCCAAAAAGACTCCCAGTAGCGGTTGGCATGATCGAGAACACCCCGCTTATGCAGACGAACAGCAAGCAAATCCAAATGCCATAGAACACTTTGAGTGTATTCTCCTCCAGGTACTTCAGATGGGGGAAAGTGAACAGGATGAGCGACCACATGGCCAACATGCAACACATCGGAATCTGTTGAAGGGACAAAACAGTGTGCTTATCACGCTGGGCTCATCTTAACCGGTGGAAGCAGTACAAAAGAGCTTACAGTCCGAAATTAGCCAACGTCAATGGGACATTCGATTGACATTTTTTGGCAACAAGGTCTTGGCAAGCGAAATTTCCGCTCAACTTCTGGGAAAATCCTAGATACTCTATGTTTAAAAAAAGCAAAATTCACTGCCAAAATAGACAATGATCACCAAAGCTACAGAGATTGTCCTTTTACGGTCAAAAGAGGATACAGTTGGATTTGTCGGCAGCAATCATTTTAGTGGGATGTGATTACTTTGTGTAAATTTGGGATGCCTCTTTATGACGTCACCTAATTTTTCCGTGACTGCATGCACTTTTTGCATCTAGATTGGTTTCTCAATTTCAGAAATGAAAGCGTCTTGATTTTAAGATATCAGGATCCGCGTTGCATTCAAAATGCAATTCGAGATGGGGCAACAGATACTAGGATGTATTTTGTACATGATTTGATATCACCTAGATTAGGGATGGAATAAAAAGCAACAAGAATAAAGCGCTACGTTTCTTGTGCTAGTTAACGCCTAAAAGGTGAAGGAAAATCTACTAAACTATGAGAATGATTATTTCGACGAACAGTGTCCTATCGCCAGGAGCATGCGTATTGTTTCGTCGAAAAACAACCCACATATGTCGAAGCAAATTCTAGGTGCTTTATTGTCTGAAGAAAGAAAACGAGGTCCGGATGTGGGTACTGTAGTTTCGGATTGATAATATAACTTGAGAATAGTGTTTGGCCAGATGTTCCTTACAAATGCCATTCACTGTTGATTGAAACATTCCTTTGGGAGTAATCACCGAAAGATGTATTGAAATATGATGCTTATGCTGGAATTAGCGTCATATGCATCTACAAAGACAATATTCGGGTCCTAGTGACGCAGCGGGGAGGAGCCTTAGGAGATGTGATGAAGAGTAGTCACAATTTGTCCGAATACCACGTACCCTAAGGACCACAAACAGTGGCATCGAATTCATGTCCGGAGAAAGAATAATGAAATTTTATTGAACGGATGACATTGAATGACTACTTGTCAGCGCTAAAAATAAAAATAGATATCGGACGTGAACCCGTTTCTCGGTATGCTTTTTGAACCTTCAAATGGAAAAGTCTCAACTCGGCATTTCTCATCGTTTCCGGCTTCATTGAAACTCGGAAATGAGCAGTCAAGTTTGGTAAGCGGTTTACGTGTTTTAGTAACTGCATATACCATGACCGTATCATAACACATGAAGTCAATGAGCAGATGACGAAGGGGCGAGCAGATTTCGCTAACCTATGAATTATCGCGCCATAATCGAATTTTTCTGGAGCTCAATGAGGATATATGTAAGACGAGTGTAGCAGCATTCCTGCTGTATGGTTTTGGGACAATCCAATTGATCCGGGGACCTTAGGCTTCTTCAAACTTATTACATAACACAGCAAAGGTTAGTTGGTTGCTGCGAGTAGGCAACAAACGGGTGCATAAGCGCGAAATAGGAGACACATCCAAATCGTTGTGGTAGCAGGTTGAACATAACAGGTTAAAGTGGTTAGGTGGGTACATACTCAAGAAGCGTCTCTTCAAAGAAGCACTGTTTTCTTTTCCAAACGGTTGTTCGCGAAAGGTTCCCGGAGAACGGATTATTACACGGTGACATGAAATAAAAGAGGTTGTGGAATCTTCAGGCTTTTCTTGCTGAATCCCACGTGTACATGCTTGCACCTAGTTGAAAACCCTGGAGAACTTGGCATTCAACCAATCTCAGTGGCGCGAGTGCTTCCATTTTCTAGCTGGACTGCCTAGCTGAAGATCACCTACGGTGTGCTGGACATGTATCGGTTAGGCTTCAAAGGGGGCATTTGGTCAGTGACCAAATTCTACTTGACGATGTGTTTATTTTTGAGCTTCCCAAAGGTGAAGGTACATTATTCATGATCGTATTCCATAAAGACATGGAGCTTCATTAAATCGGATCCATGTCTTTCCTCTTGCTTTCTACTCTTTACTTAATATTTCTTTTCTCGTGCCTGTATTGCGGTTTAACGCCAGAATGCAATACTGATGTGTTGCTGTCAGTGATGGTAATGACGATGATGATGATGGTGATCAGTAAAGCGACGTGGTTGCAAAGTGACCCACGGCATTTTTTGATGAGAACCGCATTGAGACGGTTGTTTTTTTAGGAAACTTGGCATTTAGGCGAAAGTAGACGACTGACTTTGAAAGTGGGATGTAAGAGAAGGAATGCCTAATATCCTTCAAAATTCCGATTAGCTGGCCTGCCTTAACAAAGCTTATGGGGTCCCTATATGCATAAAGTAAAGAACTGTTTGAGAATCGGTCCCTTGTTTATGGGCCGTAAAGTTGGAAGTGAAAAGCTACTCCAGTCGTTCATCACATACAGATTCAGCATAGGGATGATTTCAGTTTGACTCAAAGAATGGACGTGATCTGAGTTGAACCATTTAAAGAAAGCTGATGAAACTGAAAAAAAGTCAAGAAAACAGTTGCTCTACAGCACTGTTCATTGCAACCGTTGTTTGATCGAACGAGTTTTTCTTCATAATTCACGGATTATGAATTGCCGGTGTTAACCTGATGAACAAATCAACATTTCAATCTTGACAGACGCTCGAAGAATCGTACCTGGTTCACGATTACTACCTGAATACGATTGCTACCCACTTTACGACCCTACTGAATCGGTGTTATGCAACCAAATAAGCTGATCGAATTAGCGAAATACAATCATTTGCAAACTAATTTGGTTTTGAGGAAGACTCACCTAAAACCCAGCTGAATAGGACTAAGCTTTTGAAGTAAGTAATTTTAAGAAACTGTTAAATGTGCATCTGCCTGATCAATTTTCCTCTGTGGGTGTCAAAACTTTTATCGAACCCTAAAATCATGCATACGCAGATGTATCAGGCAAAGGTGAACAGGCCATAACGCGGAAGAGGCAGAACCGTTTCTTTACCTTGAACGAAATTCTATCCACAATTGCACCCCACATCATCCGTCCGCCAGAATTGAACAGCGCCGAAACGGTGGCGACAGCAGAAAGTGCACGATCGTCGGAGATATAGGTCTGCCCAAAATACTAAAAACAGGTGGGAGAACAGCATTATTACCGGAGTTAAGAAAAAAGAGATTACTGAGTGCTACAAATGTAGGCCCAGGAACTTGACTTACTTTATAAGCTGAGGTTATGATGGTAATTGGAATAATGTCACAAAACATGACAATCCATAACCGATAAAAATCACGATGTCGAAGAACCTGGGACGGCACAAGATTATCTTCCCTACAATGGAGAGCAAATCCGATGAAGCATGTTCCATTCGAAAGATATGTGCCGATGGAAAGGATTACACATATGTAATAGTTGGAGATGCTGGTACAAGAAAGGCTATACTTGTACGTGAGCACATAACGTGGGTGTGCTTAACCAATGCATGCTTAACCCATTTGACGGTATATATATCTTAAGACAAGCAGCTGCCCGACGCAAGCCCCGATCCCACACTAACCAAGGGATAAGACGCCAGTAATCAGAATTCCGGAACAGTTTACGCCTGATGAAACAGTATGCCACATCGTAATAGATAGCCTCACACTTCAGCTGCGTGGTCTCAATAACAGTCCATCCAACCGTGAATTGATAGTATCCCCACATTTGATGACGAGGCGTTTTCAACCTAATCACCAAGAGCAAGAATGGATCAGGCGATACCCGATCAACTACCAAGCCCAACTTACCTAATTCTACCCGTGTAAATACACAGAAAGCTAACCACTGATTAAACAAAATCATGAAACCAGTCACTTTCAGTTAGCGATGAAAATATCAGAATTATTAGAGACCAGCTGACTGATCCCAAAGAAAGGATATGAAAAATGAGAGTTTTGGCAACTCCTGTCTGTCTAAATGGAACAGACTTTTTACGTAAACTAGCAGATCAAGCTAATATTCGTCTTCCAATCCTGATAAAGATTTTGGAGATGTTGTTCCATTTCTGTACAGAAAGTGTTAGGTCGAATACTTCAACTCCTCGTACGAACGATTTGGCGGCAGCCCGCTGGATCCAGTTCCATCAAGTATCTTTATGGTCATGCAAGAATAAAAAACGTGGGTAAAATCCAGATTGACGCTGTTATATTCTAAAATGCATGCGTATGGTGGTTTTGTTTCAGCCAAATTCAAGGGAAACATTTTGGAGTTTTTAAAGATTGAATAAGCCTCCAAAACCAAACCACAACTGGCAACCTAGAAAAGAACAATACTCCGTGCGGCTCATCAAATGAGACAGAGAGAACACACAGCAAATAAGATTGTTTCAAGCCTATAAATTTGGGCTGCGCCATTATACGCATATTTACTGCGTTACAACGCTCCAGAACTGATGGTTAACTGCTGGACCCAGGGACTGCTTTCTATCGTGAGCAAATCTCCGTTGGCAGCCTATATATATATATA